GCCTTAACTTCTTAGTGTATACTGTCAGACTGCGTATTTTACTAGAAATCTCTAAGACATTGGAAGACCAGGATAGATCAGAAGAAAGAAGATGTCCAAGGTGTTTAAAGTCAGACTTGATTTCTAAATTACTATCATAAATTTTGCAACTATCATTGGAATTAACAGCTTCATTTAACTTTCTTTTACATCGGAAACTGAAATCAACAGTCTGACATTAAGAAGGATTTAGTCTAAGACTCCTGTTAGAAAGCTATTCATCTTAGTACTATCTAGTTGGGAGTTAACTGGAACTGAAACAGCCCGACCGTCAGCATGCTTAACAAAGTTCATTTCAGGAGAGTGGGGCAAGTCATGCGAGGAGAAAGAAAACATGAAAGGTGAAAGAACAGAGCCTTGAGGGACGCCAGCTTCAGTAAGCAATGAAGTGAATGACTTCTTCTTGCATACAGTGTACTTCTGAGAATGTTGAGAAATAAGAATGTTGCCAGTTAACAAACCAACACTTATATTGAGTTTCCACAACCTTATTGAACAAAATATGCCCAGGTACCAAGTCAAAAGCAGACGTATAATCTAGGAAGACGCAGCAAACAAATTCTGTTGGTAAAATTTACTGCTGTACTGGTCTACACCGACTCCTGGTTTAATGATAAGGAGTGAAATGGTTCAGAGTGTTTACCGCTTCTCTTATTCACGAAGTTACATCAGCCACAACTGAACTGGTTACCGAAGCAACCTCAGCACGGATACAAACAACTCGTCTGGTATTTGCCAAATAATATCGTCTCTGGAATAGATGTAATCAAAGAAAGTGTGTATTAGGCAGCATTTAGCTTTGACATTTTTAAGAGCTATTAGACGTAGCCATTAAAACTCGAAGGTGTGAAGAGGCTAACTGTCTTTTACAACAGTTGATTGCTTTTTATCTCCCACATTAAGCATTCCATTATAATGAGTAATATGAAGGTTAGGCGTAGAATATTAGGTAATGAAGGTAAGTCAGCTGATTAGATTGTGACACGTGTTACACATACCGAGCCAACGACTTCCTCAGCGAGTAGTGTTAGCTTATATAAAACTAGCTTGGAAAACAGGTTGGGGTGACCGAGTCATAACGTAGCATCAGTCCATGATGTCTTTTCCAGCTGTTGTGAGCTACGTAGAGAAGTGTAAGGTGCCTGGCTGGCGTCCTTGAGATAATAAGAGCCGATGACTGGAGATTACTGATGATATGCCTCAATATCTTTTGTACTTCCTTAGATGCATTCACTCTTTCTAATCTCCAACACTGATTTTACCTCCACAATCTTCCATATACTTATTCTTTACCCTGTACATTTCTATTTATTGTAGTTTCTTCTGATGTTTTACTTTATCATCGTATGCGTGACTAACGGGTGTTCTACCAGTGAGACAACAAGGCCCATACATGAAAGCATCATTGGTGTTTGCAATGATTCAAACACCTTGATTTCAGATTCAGGCTTATCGACTTTTTATTGAAGACTTCGTTCAGAAACCAAAACCAACTGAAGAATGACTGAATGGTCAGCGAGTCTCAGACTCTTAACCGATCGGTAGTTGGTAAGTACTACTGAAGAGTCACAAACGAGGATGAGCTAGTTCTCCAATGCTTCCTGGTTATTAGTGCCCCTCTAACCGATGTCAGTTCGCCACGTAATTATAGTGAATCAACCGAAATTTCTATATATCCCAAATATCTAAATGATCACCTTTAATTTCAACTTTAAAAAATAATTTATACGTTACTAAGGGGGGATTCAACTCCTGCCGTACTTACTAAAGGTGTGCAACTGACAACTGAACTGTCTATTTTCGAATTATACAATACATTACAGGCTGAAATTTCTTTGCACTACTGTTTAATGTTTTTTTTCCTTCAAGTTCCCCAGTGAAACATAGGGCTACAAGCTTGTGGCTTGAAGTTTTTGTAGCAGTGTTTTTATTTTACGGGATGAGGTTGCTAGCCTCATGCCCAACCTTTCCTCTTCACCAGCATTATTTCTAACTTAGCGAAGTAAAGGAGTGCGTCGGCCGGGGATCGAACCCCGAACCATGTGCATGGTCGGCGAGCGTCCTAACCGCTATGCTACCGACGCATGCTGTTTGATGTAGGTGGTTTTAAACTACTGACTGATGTCAGTAGTATACACAGTCTCACCAAATATACTGTTCAGAGTTCTTCTGCTGCCAATTTACATGAAAGCTGACCACCTGTAAAATCTGAAGATTCACGCTTACAGACCAACTGACAGCACCCGGTGCTGTAGTTTATTACAAAGTTTACATATATATGATAAATTTATGTGGTATTAGAAAAACAAGGTGAGCAGTTCATTTTTAAGATGTCTTGCGGGATACTTCCTCTTTTGTGGGATTATATGTAGTTAGAAGTATTGTCTAACTGAACACAGTGATGGAGGTTAAACTAAATGGCAATAATCTTTTTCTTTAACATGACATGAAGAGAAACAGTAGGTTTGACGAAAGATAGATGCACATTAGAAATAACAAAGATAAATGAGGATTTACATAAACTTGAAGATAAATTGATGTAATGTGTAAAGTAATTTTCAGTAAAAAATGAGGTGTAAACAATAAATGCATTGGGAGAAGTTGAAACTGATGCCTTTCAAGCTCCAGCTAGTTCTTCTGAAGTGGAGAACAGTCAGAAGCGTAACACCTTAGGTAGATGTATTTCCTCTTTGTAGATGACTCTGATTAGCAAGCAGATCAAAGTTGCACGATATATATTGAAAAGCACTTCAGATACAAATTGGTCCAAATTTTTTTCAGCCATGCTGTGTAAATCTCTATAGACTGTTCTTCAAAGGAACCTAAAGAACTGTTTATATAACTTGCTGCATAGCAGCAGGTGAACTGATATGCATTCACACAATAAAGTGGTCAAATCCGAAAGTTATCCTTCGGGTTACTTAAGATCTATGGACAGTGAATGTCACTCACAAAGTCATCATAACACCACGTCTGATTCATTACTCAGAGAAATTTACAGGCTTAAAAAAATCTACCCAAGGCAGTATGCTTTCAACTCCTCCTCTCTATATTCTGAAACAAAATGACGTCAGATTTCACTTTTAACACTAAATTGTTTATACTTTTATTCTCTATATGTTAATAAATAAACATTTTTCAATCTCATTTAGAATATGATTCACCAGAAGGCTCCAGATAGCCATCACTAGTGAATGCTAACACAAGTGACACACTAACGATATGTAATGGGTGGTGAAACGAAATTCTTAGTGACAATGGGTTTCGAACCATCGATCTCTGGATTACCTTTTGAGTGGAACACAGGGTTTCAAGCTCGAGATTTGAAGTTTCACTAGTGATAATTTTCTCTTTTTTTAATAGGGTGGGGTTGCTAGCCGCATATACAACCTCCCCTCTTTATCGGGCTTTTTATTATTTCTGTACGTTCCCAGTGGAATATAGGGCTTCAAACCAGAGCTTTAAATTTTCGGTAGTATTGCTAACCTCACAGCCAACCTTCCTTCTTTACTGGTATTATTACTGGCTTAGCGATGTAAAGGAGTGTGATGGCTGGGGATCGAACCTCGGACCACATGCGTGGTTAGCAAGCATTCTACCGCTGCGCCATCAATGCACAGCTCTATCGGTCTTACTGCCGGGTAAAGGAAGTTTAGGGAATGCCTTTTCCTGGTGTTGAAATTCAAACCAAATGCGTGTTTTAAGGGGCGTTCTACCAGTGAATCACTGAATCACTAACCTGTCCAAATTTTCCATTATATCCGATAGCAATCTAACAAATTAAGATTTTCCTAAGAAAGTCCCACCACTAATTGGCGCTAGTAACTAAGATATTCATAGTTACCACTTTCAACACTGACTAATCGAAACAAACAAATAAAGAGACAGTGGATAGTGAACTAGATAACCTTCGATCAAATCTCCTTAATAATGGTTATCCTACAAGGTTTATCGAACGGGACATCAAGAAAGAATCCGCCCCTAGACAAATCACAGTGCCAAAGAAAAAACTATTTATGAGTCTGGCATTCAAAGGTGACACCATTTCGGAATTGATTAAAAATTGTTTATCTAAATGTATTAAATGCACTTTTCCTGCAACTGACTTGCAAATAGTTTTTACCAGTCGAAATATGATTAGACAATGCGTCAAGGATAGATTACCACTTTTGTCCACATCTATGTGTATTTACTCTTTACCTGCTCTTGTGGAGCTGTTTATATTGGACGTTGTAAGCGTAATCTCCGAAAACGTGTAGCTGAACACTATCCAGTCTGGTTAATGAAAGGCGAACGTAGAACTGCGAAGTCGTCTATCTGTGATCACCTGTTAGAGTCAGGTCATTTAGCCCCACGTGATTCATCTTTCAGAGTTATCTACATGGCAAAATCGAATCGATCCAAAAGTTTACGTTTTCTTCACTTATGCATAGCCGAAGCTTTAGCTATACATGAACAGAAACCTAAATTATGTGTTCAAAAACGTTTTGTCAAACCCCTTTCTTTACCTTGGTCATAGTAATGTTCTTTCTAGTTTTTACTTTATTTTATTTTACCACTTGAATTCTTTCCACTTCACTTCACATCTTCATTCTTATCGTAATCGTACTCTTATTTTTTAAAATTTTTAGACAACACTTGAAATTTTTACAACATTTTTGATTTCAATTCACTTACAAAACAATCTTCAATAATTTTGTCATTTATCCACGTCAACTCTACCCCTTATAAGATTTTAATTATCGTTATTCTTATAACATATATATATGTATATCGACTGAGCAATTATTTAGTGCCACTTAATAACCTTTTCTTTAATATAAATACGACTGCACAGCTTGAAAATGAAGTCGTTGAAAAGAAATTTCTTCGCTGAACAAAACCTGTGTTTTTATTTATGAATGAAGAAGTAAAACAGTTGATCAGAGATCATAGAATTGACAAAAATCTAAACAACTTACCCATTGCAAATATATGTAGTAAACTGTATACAGAAATAAAGCATAGAAATGCATTGCCAATGATAATCATTAGTAGTATAATACACAGTACTCCAAATAGTTCAGTTATACAGTCGGATAATAGGACAAATAATGCTTCAATAATAAACTGGATTGTACTCTGCCATTGACTTTTAGAATTTCTTAGGGATGAATTTAGGCAGATGATGAACACCTAGATTGCAGGGGAAAACAGTAAAGAAAACTTTAGTTTCGAAGTAAATACTAATGCACTTTTAATGTCAATGGTTGGAGGTACTGGGTAGGGAGCCTAGTACCTTAGTTCTGCGCTAGTTGGCGCTCGTCAACAAGGCGTATCCCCAATCTTGAAGGAATTCATGTCTGATAAAGTCTTCGACCGTGGCACTGGGTGATATGGGTTTGAATTTCAGGAGGGATATGAGTTCCCTCACGATTTTGCAGATTTGCATTGCAAACGAGTACCAATAGGCAGGAAACCTAGGTCTAGAGCTTTCCACTGGCTGCCTCCAACCATCTAACAACAATCCAGAGTGCTCTGTGACGGTGAGCAACTTAGTATGGAGGTTACAACCCAAATGAAAATTAATATGATGCTCACTAGTGACTGGCCCTATTCAGGTAGGTAGTTGCCTGGGGTTCTGGTGGGAATCCGTGACCAGTAGGGTACAGCGGGTTGAAGATGACGCAGTAACTCATCGAAGAAGACATTGCGAAATGGTCGCTCTATGTAGTGAATTGGCAGAAGTTAGAATTCAAGGACCACTGGATCGGGTCCCAGTGGCTCAATGGTCTACGAGATCGCTCGCCTTGTAACCAGAAGGCCCTGGGTTCGAATCCCGATGGGTGCGTACTGATGAAAAGTCGCAAACTAGGACGAAACGGTTGTCCAGTACTCCTAGGTTTTCCAGTGGTTATCTAACTGATGTCAGCTCATGATGAAATCCTCCATGAAATTGGAGATGTGTTGTTGAAGCCCTCCGTTCCACTTGAAACCCAAAGGAACAATATTAAATAAAACAATAATAGTGTGATTGGCAACACTTGAGTGATGCTACTAGAAATCACAGTGAAGGGAAAGAGAAAGTCTACCATTTTGATTCTAAAATATTCCTACAAAAAAACACACACAAATCACTACATGGAGAGTGAGTCATTGTTTGTCTACAATCGCTTTCGCAGTATCTTTTTTGTTTATCTAACTGATTAAACAGTCATCACAAAAACATTTCCAATGGGATATTATTGACTATGACGTATACTGTCCAGGCAACTTAGACTGTGAAAGCATACTCTTGTTTTGCATATAAACCACTTGCCCACTTCAATTGTTTGAGATGATTCAGGCGTTATAGCTGAAATGATTACTTCATTATATTACTGTAAGTATAGTTTAGTAATGTCCAGCTAAATACATTGACTTTAGGGCATTTCCTACCATCTGGTCACATATATATATATTTATTTCCTTTATAGTATATTATCTTAAATGATAATCAGTTACTCTTTTTTACATTTTGTTGTTAACTTCAACCAGTGTCCACCTTTTTGAGGGAGTGATTTTTGTTGTTATTATTATGTCAGACTTGGGCAACTTTTAATTTTGTTTTGTTTCTTTTGGTTAGCAGTATTATTCTTGTATCATTGAGGAAGTACGCCCTATTGTTGTTTTTGTTGTCGTTACTACTGTTACATTTTACTACTGCATTATGAGCTAAATACTTTAACTACTGTTATTCAGAATGGTTAAATAATAGTCTGAATATAACAATGGAACTTAGACACTGTATCACAGTGTATTTGTATCATAGAATAAATTTGCTTGATATGAGCATACAGTGATACAGTATTATTTTTATTTACTCATGGCGTTTTGAGGGAAACTTACGGAATCCTTCGAAGTAAAGACGGGAGTAAGACAAGACTAGCTGGCTGCCTACTATCTCCAGTGATTTTCCTGATTACTGTAGACTGTATGATACGACAGACAACGGGCAACGAGGAGAGAGGCGTAAAATGAACCCTCACGAAAAACTTGGAGGATCCGGACTTCGCCGATGATATATGTCTGATTTCCCACAAACTGGAAGATATGCAAGTGAAAAGCAACAAGTTGGCAGAAGAAGCTTCGAAGATAGGAGTCCAAGTAAACATAGAGAAAACAGAGGTGATGAAGATTCCTGGCCAACACCACCAACAGCAACAACAACAACAGACAACAATCAGCCAGCAAAAATGGGAGGAATCTGAAAGAAAGAACCTCTTTTACCTACCTGGGAAGCATCGTTTCAACTACAGGCGGAACTGACGAGGATATCAAAGCAAGGATCAGGAAAGCAAGGCAAGCTTTCATCACTCTCAAGTCTGTGTGGAGACCAACAGCACTCAACATGAAAATGAAAATGAGATCCGGATTTTCAACTCCAATGTGAAGTCAGTGCTACTATACGGATCAGAGACTTGGCGCGTCATAAAAACCATCTCAAACAAACTACAGACCTTCATTAACAGTTGTCTTCGCTCAATACTCAAGATCAGATGGCCAGAAAAGATCAGAAACAGAGATCTCTGGCAATGAGCGAACCAACCAGGAACCGATTGTGAAACAAATAGGCAGGAACAAATGGAGATGGATTGGCCATACTCTGAGGAAACCATCAAGTGACATCACTAGACAAGCCATTGCTCGAGGGGAACCCGAAAGGGAAGCGGCGAGTTGGTCGTCAGTGCAAGGGTGACTTGGAGGAGGTCATGTGAAGAGAGGATGAAAGCATGTGGGCACACCTGGAGCCAGGTGAAAACTTTAGCAGAGGACCGAACGCAATGGAGACGCATGGCTGAAACCCTATGTTCCTCTAGGAATTAAAGGAAATAATAATAAATAATGACGTTTTGAACACATGTTTATTACTCATAATCGTATCAAAGCATTCACGTATGACTTCATTGTTCCTTATCCCTTGATTTCATTGGTAGTAATATTTTCATTATCTACAGTATTGGCGCTGAGTCATTCCTACTGCACGTGTTAGATGTGGACTTAATGAACAAGGATTCACCCATCAACCATTCCCTCTTATATTATTATTACTGTTATTCCCTTGGGTTTCGAGTGGAACTAAGGGCTTCAACAACACATATCCAATTTGTTCTATTTTCTGCTGTCCTCTTCAGCTGGGTCCATGATTTCCCATAGTCTCTCATCTCCTCCTTACCACACCAAAGCAGCATCTTTTCAGCTACTCCTAGCACAGGTGAGGATATTAGAGCAGGCAATGATCAGAAAAGCAAGATCAGTGTTGAAATGTACCGCATTTCAGCATAAAGAATGAGATTATGATTTTCAACAGCATTAATGTCAAATCACTGATTCTTTAGGGTTCACAGACTTGGTGCGCATGTCACTAGAATCATTTCCAACAGGCCACTGCGAAGTTTCATCAACAGCTGTTCTCGCTTCACTACCGACGAGTAGACGGCCGGCCAGAAAGGATTAACAACGAGGAATACTCACAGAAATTCAGACTTCTGACTGATATCACACGCCTCTGCATATACATATGTATATCTATATATATTCTACGAAGCTGAATTGCGCTAATTCACTACTCAAACTTCATGAAACTGATACATGGTCGAAACCTATAACTCATTAGTCAAACATTTGATGGCCTACAACAAACAATCGTAAAATTACAGAAATGAAATACACAGAGACATTATTTTCAAATCTTTATCGACTTACCAAAATGAATAAACAAATGAACAGGATAAGTACAAATATTAAATGACTTAAAAGATGACTCTGTGAGAAGAGATCACTTCTCCACCAATAAGCATGTTTTAAACTCATTACATGAATCCATAAACGAACAACTAAAAACATCATGAATACTAAAGAAGAGAGAGAGAAAAAAGGCAAAAAACAGAAAAGATGAAATAAATTTGCAAACCTTACTATGTTATTTATTAACAGTATAAACACAATACTTTAAGTCAAATAGTTAGTAAGAGTATATAATCGACCCTTCAAGTCACATCATAAACCCACATCACTAAGGGAACCAGGGAGAACCACAAGGTACTAGACAGATATTTTCTTCTATTTAGAGACCCTTCAGCTATACTTACCCATGATCACCTTAGTGGTAGAATTCAAGTGCTTCAGGTTAGCAGACAAGCCTTATTGATTGGCATAGTAATGTAAAGACAGTGGACAGCTGGGAAAATATTGCTCTTAATACATTTAATCCTACTCCAAAAATGTGGTGGAGGTATGTGGATGACACTTTCGCAGTATTCAAAATATCAACATATCTCTAGGTTTTTGACAGATATAAACTCACTAGTGAGGGGAATAAAATTCACATTTGAATCGGAAGATGAACAGGGACGAATTAGCTATATTATATTGTAAAATAAAACGAATAGAAGGAGGTGAACTGCACACTAGTTTTTATAAAAAAACCAACACATTCTAATAGATATTTAGACTTCAATTCATCTCATCCGTTAACTGTTAAGGCAGGATTAGTTAAGTGTTTAATAAACTGAGCAGTAGCACTAAGTAGTACATGAAAAGACCTAAACGATGAAATAAAACAGATTGAAGAAGCGTTGGTGTTAAATAACTAACTGTCCCAAAAAATTCATTAGGAAGATCAGAAACGGTCAAAAGCAAAATAAAAATAATAGTGAAACTTAAAATGGTAACATAAATAAGAGAGAATATAAGGCATCTACAGTTTCACCACATAAGCTGGGGACATCTGAGACCCTACGTAGAATTCTCAATAACGTAAGAATTAGTGTGGCATTCAAACCTACAAACCCACTCAGAGACAGGCTCTGTAGATTAAAGGAACCTGTTAACCCAATTAAACAAATTAATATAATTAACAGAATACCTTGCAATAACTGTGAGGTCAGTTACATAGGTCACAGTAGTAGATCGGCGGTAGTCTGGTTATCAGAAGATGAGAATTTACCTAAGGTTAGCATGATCGATCCCACAAAGGTAATTAATTTAGTAAAAAGCATTCAGCAGTTGCACTAAATGCATTAATACACAACCACACAATAGTGTGGGAAAGAGTCAAAATTATAAAAAGTAATATATAGGTAGGTGAAGAGAGAGACAGTGATCACCAGGCGAGCCTTTTGGCCATTCTGCTATTGAGATTGATCTCAGTGGCTCATGAACTTTAACCTCTTCTTTGAACTGACAGGCTATCATCAAAGATTACTAAGCCGGAGGTTCCAAGTTCTCTATCTAATTTGACTAAGATTTCCCCTTAATTTCACTCATCACTCATTGTATATTTTCACTTGGTTTATTTTGTTTGAATTCGACCTGTAATCTGTGATAATTCACTTGCGCACCTTCATGTATTAGTTTGCAGGGATTTGATTGATTGACTGCCTAACTTCAATTAGAGAGCGATTGAAAACCACGAAATACTGGATAGCCGTTTCCCTGTTGTTTGGAACTCTTCAGCAACACTGGCCACGATCCCACTAGAAAACGAACTCAGAACCTTCATGACTCTAGTACTGTCTAATTTTTAGAGGTTGTCTAACTAAGGTCAGATTGTAACCAATCTTGAAAACAATCAAAACCCTGCAAACCAACACTTAAAAGTTTATCTAGTGCTCATAAGTGACTGACTACAAGGTGAAGTTGGAAGGGTGAAGTGGAAGTTTTGAACAGCTAGTTCCACCAAGTTGGATGTAAAGACAAATACTCGCTAACGTCATTGGCTGTGCATATATATATATATTATCGATAGAAGTTAGGATTATTGGACCAGTTGGAGGATTTCATCATGAGCTGATATCGGTTTGAGAGCCATTGAAAACCTGGGAGTACTGTACAGTTGCTTCATCCTAGTCTGAGACTCTTCAGTAGGACACACTCACCGGGGTTTGAACTCAGGACCTTCTGGTTGCAAGGCAAGATCGTAGATCATTAAGATACTGGGACCCTATCTAATAACCATTAACTCCAACTTCTGCTAATTCACGACATAGCGTGACCGCTAGCCAATGTTTCCGGCGAGTATTTGTCCTCATACTAGACCTACCGCACCCTACTGGTCACGACTTCTCACTAGAACCCCACGTAACTACCTACCTGAATAGAGCCAGTCGTTCGTGAACATCAGATCATTTTTCAAGTATTGGTTTGTACGGATTTTGTTTGATTGGTTGGAAGATTTCATTATGAGCTGACATCGATTACAGAACCAGCTCACACACAAAGGGTCAAAGTTCAAGTTAAGGAAACAATCAGTACCAATACAAGTAGCCTAGAGGATGAGAAAACACACAAAAACAACCAGTCACGTTCAAGGTGGTCACCAGGAGAGGTGACTAATGAACTCGTGGAGAAATCTAAAAGCTCACTTCAACAAAGTGAAGTATGCGCTGAAGATGTTGCCTAGTAGGTGCAATGGAAGCTTCGCGAATAAACCATCCAGCTCAGAGAACACAACCACATCAAAAAATCCCAACAAACCAGTACTTGAAAATTGGGCCAGTTAGCGAGTTCTGTCCAATAGTCAGAATGGTCAACGAGCTAATTACTTTACCTGAAGGTCCTATGTCACAGCCCTGGTGCTGTCATGACTACGCACTGCTGGAGTCCCAAAGAAGGACCTGGTAACTGTTTAATGCTCCATGGTTTTCAATAGTCCTCTAAATGAAGGCAGTTTGTGATCAGTCTTCAAATTTAATTATTCAATTAGCCTACTTACAAGCAGAATGTAAAATTGTTCATTCAGTCCAGAGATTTACATTTAGCCCTCAAATGAACTTCAATAACCAGATTTCTAGACAAAAACATGGATTTATGTTGAAGTGCTCTAGTAGGATAGACTGATGTCAGGCTGTTAAATGCCAAATCAAATTGAATGGAATAAATTTACCCAAACAGTTAAAACATTTGTCTTTTTTATCATTTGTATACTACGTATGCTTATGACTTATGACAAGGATACAGAGGCCCATATTATTTATTTTACATCCACTGAACAGTTTCTCTTCTGTTTGAAGTCCACCATACAGCAAATGCATCAGTGTTAGCAGTTCCTTCCTCCTCGAATGTCTTTCCCATCAAGAATAGGTAACAGGTGCAGTCATTCAGAGATCCATCTACGGTAACGCTGACTAATTTCTATATTTCTTATTAATTTTCCTCATCCATCGTCACAAAAACATTCAAAATCTTGATAATGTAAAGACAGGATCCTTTTCTAAGTGCCACACATATTAAAATAGCTTCAATGATCAAGGTTTGCAGCAAAATTAGTCTATGGCAGTCATCAAATCATTTCTGAAGAAATATTAGCTTTGTGAATTTCGAAACATGAAGACGGTCAGTAACCAGCTGCACTTGGAAGTCGTCTGTCTCAGCCTCTTATTTAGAACCTTCTTTAGGCATGAAATACCTGCTGATTTTTATACAACATAAACCCTACTCTTTATATGTAAAAACAAAATAGACGTCTCCTTTGAAAAGAACTGCACTGGCCATACCCATACGAGCCTTTTCCGTTTATTATTATAAGAAGATAAAAAGGAAGTTAACTGGTGGATGGTGACTAGTAGTGGAATCCAGGATGCGCATTTCCTCCTGTTTTTGGACTCATCACTGGATGCACCTGCATCTCGCAGTGATTGATGATTTTCCCACAGAGGCTCGAACCCAGTTCCCATAGTTTTAAATGCCAAAGCGTTATCCACTAGACCATAAATGGGCCACGAGAGCCACCTCTTGTGCAACGGGTCATATTAATTATTTATTTGAATTTTAGATTTTCCCGTCGATTGATTGGACCGAAGTGCTCGGTCTCAGGCACTTTGGTCCAATCAGTCAGAATCTAAAATTGAATTAAATAAAAAGGAAGGTTGCTCTTGTTAGTGGTGGCCAACAGTAGGATCCAAGATGCGCCTTTTACCCCGATTTGGGGTTCATTATCCCGGTGTACATGCATTCCCTATGAGTGATGGTGTTTCCATCAGGACTCGAACCCTACAACCATGGCTTCAAAAGTCAAAGCATTATCCACTAACCAAGACGTCAGCAGTGATCAGGCAACATTTCAGAGCAACATAATCAATCAACGCAAAATAAAAAAAATTAACCTGAAAATTAGTGGAAGAAATGCATGATAGGCTAACATTATCACTCTTAGTCAGACAGTGAATTTAAACCTGTTAAGCATATTTAATCGATTATTTCATGGCTTGCATGGAGGATTTCATCATGAGCTGACATCAGTTAGAGAACCACTGGAAAACCTGGGAGTACGGGACAGCTGTTTCGTCCTAGTTTGGGACTCTTCATCAGAAAGCGCCCACTGCGGTTCGAACCCAGGACCTCCTGGTTACAAGGCGAGCTCGTAGACCATTGAGCCACTGGGACCCGATCCAATGGCCAGCCATGAATTCTAACTTCTACCAATTCACGACATAGCACGACCATTTCGCAATGTCTTCTTCGATGAGTTACTGCCTCATCTTCAACCTGCTGTACCCTACTGGTCACGGCTTCCCACTAGAACCCCAGGTTAACTGCCTGAATAGGGCCAGTCGCTAATGAGCATCAGATTAATTTTCAAGTATTGGTTTTGTAGGGATTTTTGTTTGACTGCATGTAGGATTTTATCATGAGCTGACATCTGTTACAGAACCACTGGAAAACCTGGGAGTACTGGACAGCTCTTTCGTCCCAGTTTGGGACTCTTCATCAGTATTTACCCACCGGGGTTCGAATCCAGGACCTTCTGGTTACAATGCAAGCTCTTTCATGGCTGTAACTGACTTTCAACCAAAGCATCAGCTACTGATGAATTAAATCTAGGTCATGTGTGCAAATGGAATTTCATAGAGTT